CATCCCCCCTGGGGGTGATTTCTCGCTTTCTGTCTCTGTCTCTCTTTGTCTGGTGAGCACACGCGCCCTATAGCAAGAAAAAGAGAGAGACTGGAGGCGAGGGTGGCTGGGTCTCACGTGGTAGGTTCAAGTCCCGGTCTGGGTGTACATGCATATGGGTATTTAAAACCCTGGAGCCAGGACGATGGGGAAGGGGCTTTGGCTGCCCACGCTCTTGAGGACTGCCCTCTATCTGTGGGGCCTCTCAGATGGCGTGGTTTTGTTTCAGACGACAGCAGGAAGAAGCCCGGAGGTCCTTAAGCAGGGAAGGAACATGGCTGGATTTTTATTTGTGTATTTTTTCTTTTAAGTTTTTATTACAGGCTGCATGCACTCACCAGAGAGAGACAGAGAGAGTCAAAGTGAGAAATCATCCCGGGGCACCACGCCGCAGTCCCTCCTTCGGGCTCAGGATGTGGGGCACACGCACTATGCCCAGTGTGTTTTCCAAGCTCTGCGGCCGGACGTGAGCCAGCTCTGTGCGGGCCAGCACGGTGCCACCTGCCGGCCCCTGGATTTATATTCTTAAAATCTTGACAGCCAGGAGGGTAGACTGCAAGTGCTGGAGTAAACGCAGCAGCTGGGTGAGCCGCGATGGCTGAGGGTGATGGAGAGAAGTGAGCAGCTTCAAGATGCCCCGAGAGGGCCGGCGGGTGGCGTGGTGGTTGAGGCACTGGACTCCCACACTGCTGACTGCAGTTCGAGTCCCAGACTGGCAGCTGGCTTTCTCACCGTCTCTCTCCTGTCTCCCTCTCTCTTCTCCCCTCTCTCCTCCTTCTGGTGAGCACATGCTCCCTATAGCAAGATTTTAAAATAATCATAGAAGTAGATAATGTTCTGAGAAAGATACACTTGGAGACAAACCCCACAGGGTTGGGGCTAGACGGGGAGCTGGGAGGTGGAGAGGAAGGGAGGGTTCTGGCCAGCATGCCTGGCTGTGGAAGCATCCCCACGGAGCGGGAGGCCGCGACCTGGGAGACAGAGCACTTTGTCTGGAGGTGTCACAGATGCTCATGGGCTTCGGGGCAGACTCGCAGGCTGTGGGCTCCGTTCTGCCATGTCCCTGGGGTGGTCCAGGCCAAAGGTGGACTCGGGTGGAGGTGCCGACCCAGGCACTGTGTGGCACTACCTGGGGCCGACAGGATAGCAAGCCTTCCTGAGCCGGGAGGGACTCCCAGCAGCTAGAGGCCCCACCAGGGAGGGCTGCAGGGGCTGAGCAAGCATGCAGATGGGAGAGAGTGGTGTCTCAGACGCCAAGGGAGAGCAGGGGACCCAGCCGACAGTGCCAATGCAAGGCAGGGCTGAAGTCCCTCACCGACCTGGGCTCACGGCTGTCTGTGGAATGTCAGCCCTGGGCACCTGTCCCTCTGGCCCCATCAAGTCTTCCTCTGTGCTCTTGGCGAGGGCTGGGCGTGGCCTTGAGGGCGCTGCGGGAGAAGAGCTGGCCAGCAGTACTGTGCCGACCTGCAGAGGGAAGGGGAGGAACGTGACGACAGAATGGTGAGCAGCTGCCGCACGGCTTCCTGGAGTTCAGAGGCATGCTTTGCTTCAGCCAGGGCAGCTCTTTAAATCTCCAGAAAGCGAAGAGTCAGTTTCAGGACTCCAGTGTTTTGCCATCCAAACCTGGAGGTCTGACATGCCCAGGGCCGACTGAGATGCCTTCCAGATTCTTCATTTCTTTCGCTTAGGTTTTCTGCAGGGTGTGAAGAGGATGGCAGGTGAAAAAACTGCAAAGCAGGAGACTAAGGAGAAGAAACCTGATGCCAGTGGCAAGGTTAAAAAGGGTGACCCCAAGGCTAAAACGCCCAAGAAGGGGAAGCCTCATTACAGCTGAAACCCCGTCCTAGTCCGGGGCATCGGCAGATACCCCCAGTCTGCCATGTATTCCAGGAAGGCTGTGTACAAGAGGGAATACTCGGCCACCAGATCCAGGATCGAAAAGAAAAAGGAGAAGGTTCTTGTGACTGTCACAAACCAGTTGGAGACAAGAATGGTGGTACCCGGGTGGTTGAGCTGCGCAAAATGCCTAGGTATTGTCCTACTGAAGATGTGCCTCGAAAGCTGTTCAGCCACGGCAAAAGCCCTCCAGTCAGCACATGAGAGAGCTGTGAACCAGCCCCACTCCGGGCCCGAGCTGATCATTCTCACTGGACACCACAGGGGCAAGAGAGTGGTTTTCCTGAAGCAGCTGAGCAGTGGCTTGCTACTTGTAACTGGACTGCTGTTTCTCTACTGAGTTCCACTGCACGGAACACACCAGAAATTTGTCATTGCCACCTCCACAAAAATTGCTATTAGCAAAGTAAAAATCCCAAAGGACCTTACTGATACTTACTTCAAGAAAAAGAAACTGTGAAAACCCAGATGCCAGGAAGGTGAGATCTTCGACACAGAGAAGTAGAAATAACGAGATTTCAGAGCAGCGCAAGATTGATCAGAAAGCTGTGGACTCGTAAATTTTACCAAAAATCAAAGCTGTTCCTCAGCCCCAGGGCTACCTGCGATCTGTGTTTGCCCTTACAAATGGAGTTTATCCTCACAAATGGGTGTTCTAGATTTTTTGCCAAGAACCTAATTAAATAACTGATCATATATATAATTGATTGATTTAATTAAATAAACCTCCAGAAAGCCTTCCTGTTGAGGGGTGGCATGGGTCCAGGCTGGAGGGTGGGGGCTGGTAAAAATTGTAACTGGCTTCTGTCGTGGGTATGACTTCTCAATCCACAAACTTGGGAACAAAACTTTCTTAAAAAACAAACTAATTTCTATTTTATGTGTTCAGTAAACATGCAGCAGACATCTGGTGAGATGTGGGCACAGGGCCAGGCCCTGGGAGCACAGCCACATCTGGGGCCCCAGCCCTTTCCTGCTGGCTTTCACGCCCAGGGTAGGAGACAGGTGGTGCACACAAGCGTACCCAAGGACTTCTCGGGCTTCAGGCGACCCTAAGTGCTCACACAGGAAGTGCAGCTAGAAGGGGGGGCATGTGGGAGAAGCTCTGTCCGGGCAGGGGGCACCCATGGAGCAGGCAGGTAAGAGTAGGGCCAACCAGATGCAGACAAGCATTCCCAACAGGGAAGGCATGTGCAAAGGGCCTGAGGCCGCCAGAGCTGGGCACATGTGAGTAACAGGCCTGGTGTGGGTGCTGAGCCTGGAGGGTGCATGCAGAGGACAGTGTGGGGATAGGTCAGGGGCAGCAGGACAAATCCTGGAGAAGAGTTTGGGTCTTATTCTCAGGTATGGGAAGCCACCGGAGGATTTTGAGCTGGAGAGTGTTGGAACAATTCACACTTGCAAAAGCTCATCCTGGGGCCAGCCGTGATATAGTGGTTAAGGTGTACTCCCACATGGCTGGGACCTGGTGGCTTGCTTTCTCACTTTCCCTCTCTCCCTGTCACTCTCTAGTCAAATTGAAAATAATTATAAATTTTAAAATTTTAAATACCACTCTGGCTTGTATGTATAAAATAGATGAGGAGGTGTGGTGGAGGGCGCTGGATTCCCACATGGCCAACTGTGGTTCAAGTCCTCGACCTGGCAGCTTGCCTTCTCACTTTCTCTCTCTCTCTCCTCACCCCTCTCGCTCGCTCTATCCCTCTCTGCTCAAATTAAAATAAACCAATAAATAAAGCTAAATAAAATAATTATTTTAAAAATAAATAAATAAATAGATGAGGGGCCAGTAGGTGGTGTAGTGGTTAAGGCACTCGATTCCCATGTGGCCAACCATGGTTCGAGAACTGGAGCCGGCGGCTTGGAATTCACCCTGGCATGTGTGCGTGTATGCCCGAAGTACCCAGAGGAGAATGGAGAAGGGATTGTGGTGTGGCCATCCCCCAGGAGGTGATTTCTTGCTTTTTGTCTTTCTGTCTCTCTGGCAAGTGCATATGCACTATTAAAAAAATGTCTCTTGAGAAAAAGGGACAGAAAATAGGTGAGAATGAAGCAGTGATGTTGGACAAGGAGCTTTATCCTCTGTCTCCAGAGCAGGTCCAACCCTTTGCCACTCAACAAAACACAGAGGCAAAATTGTCAATGAGAAAGGGAAAAAGAACTTAGTACTTAGTGTGTGCCCACTGGGAAGACGTGACAATACCTGACTGGTCGGCCAACTTACAGGTGCTCTTTCTTTTTTCTTTTTCTTTCTTTTTTTTTTTTTTTTAATAATTACTTAATTTTATTTCTTCACTCATTTAATTTGACAAGAGAGTGAGAAAGTAAGCCACCAGTTCCGGGACTCAAACCACGGTTGGCCATGTGGGAATCCAGAGCGTCACCCACCACACCCCCTGCCAGCCCTGCCCGTGCTCTTACAGGGAAGGAGGCGTGGTGGAGCTGAGGGCTCCTGGAGAGAAGCACAGAAAGGCCTAGATCGGGTGGTGAGTCTGAGACGGAAGTTTCGTCTTAGCTAAGGGGCACAATCAAGCAATTCATTGTTTTGTATTTTCTTTTTAGTTTTTGCTGTAAGTGCATGCACTTGACGAGGAGAGAGAGCGGAAAAGTGAAAAATCACACCCAGGAGCATGGCCCACATCCATCCTCCATTCTCCTCTCGGGACTTGAGATACACAAACAAACCCAGCGTGATTTTCAAGCCAGCAGATCCAAGATTCAAACCATGAGCTGGCCATGTGGGATCCGGCCGCCTTACCCTCCACACCACTGGCTAGCCCTCAAACGATTCGCCTTCAAGACAGGCGTTTCAGTGGTGGCTGGACGGGACGCCCTCGTCTCAGCTCCAGGCTGGCCGTTGTCTCCTTGGCGTTCCTGTGAGAAATGGCAGAGTGCGAGGCTGAGAGGGGAACGCTACTTTTTATTTGAACAGGATGGCATCAGTCTGGCTCACCAGCCCTGGTTACAGTGAGCCAAGGTGGATGGCCAGAGGTGATGGCGGCTGGAGCTTAAGGGGAAGAGGTAGATGTGGGGAAAGGTGGGTTGA